TTGATTTATTTCTTTTCAAGTATCATTTGATATTATTTTTTGGAAGTAGTTTCAAGCCCAGTGAAAATAAGTGGCATTTAGAAATGTTAGTAAATAGAATAAAAGGTGGAAGAGGGCAATACATTTCATCTTCTATGTGCTGGGTGCTTTATGTATGCTATACCTTAAAATAGGATTATCACCCCATTTCATAAAGGAGCACAGTGGAGACTGCCAAAGATGACATAGGTGGTAAGTGGCAGAGTACTTAGGAACATAGGTCTGTCTAGCTCCAGTCTACTAGTTCTGCCTGTATTCTTTTTACACACTGAAGCATCTGGTGCCAAATCTCAGCTCTTTTCTCTACCTTCTGTCAATTACACAAACACCAACTCACTTCTCGAAGTCGAGGGATATAAATGGGGGGCAGAAGGGGGCCTTAGGTAAAGGGAGTAAGATTGAAAAGAGAAGTCTTGATTGCAAGCTCTCCTCAGTTCAGGATCTTTCCTTGGATAACTGAGCTTGTCTGAGAGCACCCTTGACCATTGCCTTTGGCCTCCATCTAACTCTCTCACAGAAGCCTAGTGGTGAGAGGACCCGGTGCTACTCTGAGTAGAACCTACTTCTAGTGGTCGGCACTCATGGACTCTAATATGCTTCAGAGGAAGAGATCACACCATGAGGAAACTCATCTAACTAACGATCAGCTCTCAATGAAACACCGTTGGAACAGTTTCCTTGCTTTGTGTTGGTTTGTTTATTTTGTTTTTAAAAGAGGCACTCATTTCATGATTCAGGATGAAAAGGATTTATGTCCTTTTAAGAAAACATAAATCAAAGTAGGATACTAACATTCATAGAGTAGAATTCAGTATAAGGAGGGGTGGTCTAGGTGAAACATGATGGAGACTACGAGTCTTACTTACAGAATAGGCATAACTAAGAACCTTTCAAAAAGCTGCTAACCCACAACACTCTTTTCAGGGTGTAAAATAGTTATGTTATAAGGAGACCTATAGAAACAGTCAACAAATGAATGCCATAAGGCATTTAGAGACAAACATCTCTTAAGAAAAGCTTATTCTTGCTAAGTTAAAGAAAATAAGCCAAACACTTTGCTTTTAAATATGGAAGGAAAGAATGAAAAATCATACCCATTTTTCTCTTCTGCTGTCTCTCTGGCACCTGCTTTCATAAGGAAGCTAAGAACATAATCTATTATACTAATTGTTCCAAGGGTCTTAGAAAAAAGATGATCTCCAATTCAATTAATTTTTTTGTGATAAATAGTGCTTCTTATAAATAATTCCTTGAAAGATAAAAATATTTTCTTTCTTAATAGTGCAAAACATCAAAATGGATGACTGGTCAACTATATATTAAAAATGATCATTCTTTCTTCAATATACACCCAATGGTACCTGACATTTTAGTTATACTTTCCATAACACAGAGAAGTTTAATAATATCGGTCAGTATTGTAGTTCTCTGCATAAATATTTTCACAGGCTACTCCAAAGCATGCTAAGCTGTTGGATAACAAATGGGAAAATATCACACCGCGGGCAATATTTACCTCTCCAACAGGCAAAACAAGAAAATGGAGCCCAGGCCTAGAATCCTCTAGTGTTACTCGATCAAGGCAAATTATTTACTGCCTTCTGCCCAGGAGGCCCCACGGGGCATGAAATACTGACTTAGGAATTTGCTGGGCCTGATTGTCTGTGTGTTGCAACCACGTTCTCTTCTATCACTTCTTAATATATGATAAATTGTTTCTGTGTATGCTGTGATGAGGTTGAATAACAAATTAAATCTGGCTATTTAATAAACATGAAATGTAAACGTTAAACTCTTTTTATAATACTAGCTTGGGTCATTAATGTTTACGCCATCGTGTGCAGGACTGTACAATGCCTTGTTCGTATCTGTGCCCACCTTCAACTGTTCCTCATCTCACACCTCACAACCTCTGCTGCATTCACGAGACCTGATTCCACTCCTTCTGTGAGTGGGATTTGGAGAGCCTGGGTGTTCTTCGTGGTTCACTTGGGGCTTCTCAAAGCCAGGACAGTGGGTCTGGGCTCTAGGTATTGGGGAGGGGCTAAAGCTGGGCCCAGAGGAACTCTGTGATGTGAAGTGCAGGAGCTATTCATTATCTGAGCAGAAGAGGAGGAGTCTGGAGCAAGTGTGAAGAAGAAGAAGAAGAAAAGCCATGAAGCATTAAAGAATGGTTACATGCAAGTTTATCTCATCAGCTAAAAATTTTTGCTCTGTACCATTCTACATGTCCATATAATACCCAATATTAGAAGTGTCACATATGAATGCCCTGCATTAGTATTTGCTAGCCCTGCTCATTTGGTACTTCCCATGTAAGATCAGCATAGCCATGACTATGAAGATTCTGGAGTCAGATACCCTGGGTTTTAATCTGGTCTCCACTACTTTCTAAGAAATGTGATCTTAACCTTCCTTGGCCTCAGTTCCCTCATCTCTAAAAGGAAGATAACAAAAGCATCTCTCGTATAAGGTTATTGCAAAGGAAAATAAGATGTAGATACATAACATATGATGCATACATGTACATGTACATATGTAATAGCTATCTATATCTATCTATCTTCACCTAGAACAGTGCCTGGCATGTATCTAAATCAATAATGTTCAGTAGAATTATCACATTCATTGTTGTTTTGTGGTTTCTATTTAACTTCTCACATCCGTAGGCCTTGTCGCCTCTACTATCTATAAGACTCTTGAGGGTGGGAAGCAAGCTTATATTTTGTCATGGCTAAATGTTCTTTTTTTTGTCTCATCTGTTGGGGTTCACCATATGATTTAGTGGCAAGTGAATCAGGCGTGGCCAATAAATGCTGCCTTCCTCTCGCCAGAGAGAGGGTATGTGACTTAAGCTTGGATATGCAAGTCCTCACCAGGAAAAGGCTCATTGATGTCTGAGATGGCTGGCTTTAAGGCTGTGTAAACCTGAAACACTGGGGGCGGCCATCTTTGCCTCCTTTGGGGAGAGCTTGTCTGAGAATGGAGACAACACGGAGGAGGAACACAGAGCCAACAGATGGAGAGAGACGCCTCTTGAGGACTTTGTTTGAGTTTCTGGATTCAATCTTGCCTCAAAGGAGTGCGCTGTGGCTTTTCTGATTTTATAAGGAAAGAGATCCTGTCTTTAGTTTATTTAAATTAGTTTGTATTGGATTTGCAACCAAATTAATACTAATATACATCTTTTTCAAATCAACTTCTTGGTCCACATGATTTTCTTTGATGCCATTGACCTTATATAAGGCCCTGTACATAGAAGACCATGTATTTGTGTGTGTATATATATATATATACACACACACACACACATATATATGGCATGTATGAATGAATTAAAAAAATTTAAAAGTGAAAGCCCATGAGCCCATAAATTTAATCTCCTGTGCTTTATTATACTGTCCTAGGCAATTCAAATTCAATTTAAGTGCATCTTGACATTGGAACAAATCTCTTTTTTAGAGAAATACATGATGTAGCCCTGAGGAACTTGTTGAATGAGCTGGATTGCGAAGAAAACTGTGTGGGGAGACCAGGGATTCAGCGTTGGAAGAACCAGAGTTCCTCTTAGCATAACTAACTCCATAGTCAGCTCATTCCCTTAACCCCCCTGGGTACTGTTCTTCACGATAAAACGGGAAGAATAATACAGGGTTATTGTTAGGCTCAAAGGAGCTCATTCATGTGTGAGCTAAAAATGGTACAGATGTTATTTGTTCATTTTTTTCCCCCCAGATATGTCAATTTCAATTGGTGATGGATACACACCTGCCAAATCATGAGCCTAAACGTGTTGAAATGTTTTTATTTCTAGTCAAATGCACAACAGGAAGCACATTTCAGAAGGATATATGTGAACATACGCCATCATATCTGGGTCTGGGATGTGACCTCTGGGGGGAAAACTGAGTGTTCTCCGTAAAAGGAACCGTTTCCACTGCCACGTTGCCTCCAAGAATCCCTTCATTTTTACCATCAAAGAGCTTCAGAGGGCAGATGCGACGCTGTGCTTCAGACTAAGTTCCTAACAGGCCCTGTGGCCACCCTAGCAGCTCAGTACCTGGGAGCCTTCACGCCTCGGGGTGTTTTTGGTGGGCGTGGCGAGAAGCACCTGCTCCCGGGCTCTCCAAGAATCTTACTCCAATCCCCTAGTTTTAAGGGTGTAGCTCTGCAGTCTCCCAGCTATTCCCTCGAGTGTGCTTTATGAGATCCGGTTTCAATCCCCCGGTGAGAAGCTCTGAGGTCCCGTTACAATTCCCTAGAGCTCCATGTGTGTGCGGGAGGGACAGAGTCAGGGAGAGACCGAGGGAGGGGACGAAGTCTCCGGGCTCCGGTTACCGCCCCGCACGGCCCCCGCCCCGAACCGCCGAGTGCACTGCGCGGCCCGGGGAGCGCCGCGGCCCCTTTAAGAGCCGGGCCCAGGCTGGCCCTGGGGCCGCGGGAGCCCAGAGTGAGGCGCGCCGCGGAGGAGTTGGGAGCCGGCGCAAAAGTTTCCTCCCAACTCCGGCCCCGCGAGCCGCCGCCGCCGCCCACTCCAGCCCGCGGCCTGAGGCCGGCCCCGCCGCCGCCGCCGCCGCCGCCGCCGCCAGGGCCAGGGCCGGGCCGGGCCGGCAGTTTCGCTTTGGCGGGCGGGGAGCAGCCGCCTGGGCCGGGCCCGCGCCGGAGCAGGAGCGGTAGGAGCAGCCGGGCCCCTGGACCGCGGCGTCCCCGGCCCCCCCCCCGCTACCTGGGAGGTAGCCCTCCCCGCTGCCGCCTCCTCTCCGATTCCCGCCCGCTGGCGGCCGCCTGCCCAGGGCGAAGGGGCTCTGCTGCGAGCCCCTGGCCCTGAGGGGCGCCGGGGAGAGGCGCCCCGGGGTCTCTGTGCCCGCCCGCGCCCGGCGGCCCCCGAGAGTGGGGCCGCGCCGGCCGGCCCAGACACCTGTTCGGCCCGGCCCAGCCCGGTGTGGTCGCCGGGGGCCAGGATGAAAGTGACCGTGTGCTTCGGCAGGACCGGAATCGTGGTGCCCTGCAAGGAGGGCCAGCTGCACGTCCGGGAGCTCACGCAGCAGGCGCTGCAGCGGTACCTGAAGACCCGGGAGAAGGTGGGCGCGGCGCGGGGAGCGCGCGGGAGGGGCGGAGGAGGGGGCGCGGCTGCGAGCGGGCTCCCCGGGAGCGCTCCGCGGCCTCGGCACCTGCCAGGTGCCCAGAGGACAGGGTGGCGACGCTTGGGGGACGCAGAGCACCTGGGCGACCTGATTTTTCACGACCTGTGGCCGCAACTTCTGGATGTTGCTAATATAACTGACCTGGGCGTTTAAGGGCCTTGCTTGTCCAAGGGTGGCGTGGGTACCGCAGCATGAGAATCACTCGGGGGCTCGTTAGAAAGGCACCATCTGGTGACCCAGTCCAAGCCCACGGCTTCAGAGTCTGCTTTTCAACAAGCTCCCAGGTGATTGCACTGGCCACTGAAGTTTGACAAGCACTGCTTTAGAAGTTGTTTGAGCGAACAGATCTCAAGGGAACGCTTGAAGGTGCTGCTAACCTCAGGTGTGATTTTTGACGTGCTAAGGCCCGCCCTACGTCTACTCTTTGGGTTAGAAAGTTGATTGGTTCAAGTATCAGATACTCGGAAGTTATAACTGATGGAGCCCTTGGAATTTCAGCCACGTGAGCTGGCTTCCCTCAGTGACTAAGGCAGGAGCTCAGGTGGAAGGATGCTGTGTGCTTACACCAACCAGTCTGCACTTTGCTATTTTTACTTTAACACCACACAGTCTATCAACATTTACTAAGTGTGTGGGCTGTGTCAGGTCCCGGGTGACTATTGAAATGATGACAAAGAGTGTCCCCAGCTCTGTCCCTGAAGTCAGGAGCAAGTGAAAATTAAGTGGAACTCTGGAAGAGTGTTTTTAAGTGTGCAATGCACGCTTAAATGTTCAGAAGACCTAGCTGGCCTCTGGAACTCGTATTTTTGGGTAACATGCTGGGCCTCTGTTTCTTCTTTAATGGAAATTTTAAATGAAGGCATCCAAGAGCATCTTTTTATCTTTTTGAATCCTCAAATGGGATATCTTGTTTGGCCCAAATCCTCCTCAAACAGGACAAGTCATAAACTCTTGCTTTCGAGGTCAATGATCCTCTTAATATTTGTTCTCGTGCTGTGAGAACTGTCGAAATGGTGAGTTGGCCAGTTTCGAGAATGGAAAGATGTAATTTCTTTTAATGTCTTTTAGGTTATGCAAGGCATAAAAGTAATTGTGTTTCTTCTAAATATACAGTTGAGGCTTTTAAGAAAATCTCTTGCACCTCTGTGCCTCCACTAAGAATTATTATATAGGAAAAAATTCCACCCTGGATAAATACATGTGTATGTTGCCTTGAACAGCCAAGAGTTGGAGAAGAGCATAGTGAATGATCTGTTAATATCTAAAATATAATCTCAGAAGCTGGACTCTTTACTAATGGAATTGAGGCAGAGAGAGAAAATAATCAAAGTGGCCTGTATGACTATATGAGTATTTACCCAATGGTTTTTCTTCCATTGTTACAGTAGTGTGCTGATTATATTGTGTAATTCAGTTGAAAACTGAGGTTTACACAAGTAACCAGTTGTTCTTGAAATCATATTTCCCTAAAGTAAGCTAGGGTTAAACCTAACAGTGTTATTCTAGGCAAATTATTAAAGTAGATCTCATTGAAGGATTGGTTTATTGAGATGATAAACTTATTTTTAATTATTATTAAAAATAATTTATCTCTAAAACTTTGTATATTTAGAAGTTTAATACTTGGAGCTGTCCAAGTAATAGAAGTAGGCTATAAGCTTATAAATAACACATGGGGAACTAACTGTATGATATTTAATGCATTGTAATTTGATCTTAAAAGGTGTTAAAAAGCTATTGATATTCTGGACTGAAAGTATAATTTATAATATCACATATCCCATAATATAATTGTATTGATCAGTTTACTGTTATTACCAGACATTACATTTTTCTGTGTTTACATTTATATATTAGTGAATGTGACATTTAAAGGCCACCTGCAACTTAAAAATTCTCGCTCCCTTCTTCGGCTTTTAAAATCTCAATTTAATAACTGGCAAGTGATGTTTTTCCTTCCCAAAATATTCCTCTCTCATAGTTTCATTTTAAATAGCATTGTAATCATAACAAGGCTTAACTAATATTAAATGGTATTCCTAATGGAACTAAAATGTCAAGAAATACTCTGATAAATTCCATGCTTTTATCCATTGAATTTAGAAAATGATGGGAAAAGACCAGAAATGTCAAAATTCAATTTGGAAAACAGTTTGGCATAAATTCAATGTCTTTAAATAGGTGAAAGATTTAAAAGGCTTGTTTCCCTGGACAGCAAGGTTTTAAGCTCTTACTCAGTAGTAATAACACAACAACAAACATGAATTGTGCTTACTTGGTGCAGGCACTGTTCTAGGTGCCTTACATATATTAAATGACTGACTCCATGAGCTAGGTACTAATATCCCCATTTTACAGGTGGGGGAAAAAGAAACACAGAAATATGACTAGTGCATGGTGGAATTGGGATTTGAACCCAGGAACTATGTCTCCAGGTCCTTACTCTCAGTCATTAATACACAGGCTAGTAGGTCATTATGCAGTGTAATTTATCTAATTTATTTCTTTAGAGTTTGTTTTAAAAAGACGATTCCATCTACAAACTGCTGCAGTAACCTATCAACCTAATGATAGCAGTTGTGTTTCTTGCAAAGGGATGGGACATCCACAAACTCCTCTTGATTTTATCTGTTACAGTATAGGTCTCTATGTTATAGGGAGAAGTCTAATTTCTGTGACAAGTATTGCAGGATTTGCATCAAGTATGTAGGATCTTCCTCAGTCTAATTACAAATGGAAAAATTGGGTAAGATCTCTGAGATATACAGGTAGAGGGGTAAAGAGGTAAAGAAACAAGTTTAGCGGGAACATGAATGTAAATTAAGCCCGTTTCTTCCGGGGCCCTGAATAATTTAGATGGGAGAAAGGCAGATGTCAAGATTGAGGATAGAGTTGAGGTTTGTACACTTTGAAAGGTAAGTGAAGCCCAAGGAAGCCATTCTGGAGTTTGTGGGCAGCAGCAGAGAAGTAGCCATCTCCAACTGAGAAGAAACAAAGGGAACTGGTATTTGTGGAATGTGGGGAGCCAGCTGAATCAGCATCAGATAAGGCCAGAAGTAGGTAAGATGCTGAAGAGACGGAGGGAGCTTTGGGGACGGCTTTAATTATGTTCTGAAATCTGGGACTTTGAGGTTCCTGTGGCCTCCCCCTCCCTGCCATTTGATGAACTCTACTGGTGAGGTGAATTGACAAAGGGGCAAGAATTATGGGGTGGCTTGTCTTTGGATCCTGGTAGTTTGTCATTGTCCAAGGCTCTAAATCCAGTTCAGTTAAGTAGTTAGTGGAGAGGAGATGGTCTTAAGTAGTCAAGGTGGGGATCACTGAGTAATTAATTAATCATCAAAATTACGTGTCACAGATGAATGGGTAATTGAGCCATATCCTGCAGGGCTCTCAACCCTGGCTGATCATTAGTTACCTCTAATTTTAACATTTAACATTTTAAATAATACAAATGCCTGAGTCCCTTTCTCTAAGATCCTCATTCAGTGGGTTTGGAGTGGAGCCTGGGCATAGGTATTCAAAAAAAAAAAAAAAAAAGTCCAGATGATACAAGTGCCCAGCCAGGGTTGAGAGCCACTAATCTACTACCACTAATCTTTTGGTATCACTGAACTAATTTGATTTTTAAACTCATTTGATGGCAGGTACTATGTCTTAGACACCTATGGACCAACCTGTTATTAGCAACTGTCTTTCCACTCCTACCCTGAATGAATTCTCACAGCAGGTGCTCAAATAACTTATTAAATCGAACATTGATTTTATATGTAAGTAAATAAGGGAAAGATTTGTTTAGTAACAAAAGTGTAAATGAGTGTATAGTGTGTGTGCGTGAGTTCAGGAGTTGAATGAGATAATATGAACGTTGAGTTCATGGGGTAGTGGGTATGATGGAATTTTTAAGAAGATTTGCGGATCTGTATGTATGAGGATAGTTTTTTTTTTTTAAGTAAAGAAACATCTGATTGACTTTCAAAATGAATCTCCTCTGTATTCAGATATTTGGAATAATTTGTTTGTTTTGCAAGTTGAGATCAGCTTCCTGGATCTGAATGAAGATAAGAGCAATTATCTTTATTGATGAATTGTGAGATCAATCTAAGAATCTGTGCAGTAATGAGAATCTGGTATGATATTGTATGGGACTAACCTGGAGGAATAAATTAGAATTCTTGAATTCCTGAATTTTTCAGCTTTGGATGTTTCGTTTCCAGATTTTAAGTTTCCTGTACACATAAGCTAGATGTATACCACACTGGATTCCCAGAATGCTTTTCAGTTTATTGGGCACTGACTGACTAGAGTGCTTTATTTCCTATTCAGTTCTCTCCTCTCCCAATGTGTGGACTAGATATTCTTTCCAGCATGTGGGTAGGATTGACTCACCATCAACAAGGCACATGTTTCTAACTTGGTTTTGGTTCTGTTACTTCACTTGCATTGAGCAGCCTCTGAGTTTGCAAACACAGGGCTCCTGGGGCCTGCTGTGACCCACAGACATGTTTTTTAAGTTCTGCTCGGTGTTATATTTTGACTTAGTTGCCATGTTTAAATATTTTGAGATTTCATGGAAAAATCCAGAGTTCTGTCTTCTTTTAGGGAAAAAAACCCCAGAAGCTCTGAGAATACTGGGCTTTACTTTCCCACATGGCAACCATCAGCTGGAGCTGAGGACACCTCTTTAGAAGGAATAATTAAGCTCTAGTCTCCATTATTACCTTTCCCAATAGCTGAGTGTAAGTTATTCTCCAGCTAAAATGCTCTCAACAAGATTATTAAGATCTGACAGCTAAAACCCATGGTTACTTTTCAGTCCTTATTTTTGATGATATCTCATCTTTTGAAACTCTCTTTACCCATGAGCCTTCCAGGATTTTTTTTTTTTTTTTTTTTTTTTTTTGCTGTACGCGGGCCTGCCACTGCTGTGGCCCCTC